ATTATTATTATTATTATTATTATTATTATTATTATTATTATTATTATTATTATTATTATTATTATTATTATTATTACCACCCTGTTTCTCCAACAATACGGCCTCCCCCAATAGGAAGTCCCAGCATGTTTTATAGGCATGAAATGAAATTTAAGCCCCTCCCCCAAATTAAGGCCTATATTAAAACATGTGAAATGGGGGGGAATGGTGGGGGGGCTTGCCGTTAGGAAGTACTTTTGTTGCACACCCGGATATGGTGCTGCCTGCATTGACCCCGATACGAAGTGCCCCACCAATGCCGAGGTCAACATCCAAGCTGTCGCCGCCTGCCTGCCTGAAGATGCAAGGGGGGAGGAACTAAGTCACCCCCGAAAAGACGGCCTAGCCATTTTTTCGGGGTTCCAAAAAAAATAAGACCCGGCCTTATTATATGAGAAACACGGTATTATTATTAAACATGAAACTCAGTCAACTGAACATTTAAAAATGTATCATAAATAGTGACTGATGGTAATGGTTGATACGGGTTGCTGCCAGCCTCCTAGGTATCAACCAAGTACCTTCTTAAAACTAGGTATCAACCAAGTACCTTCAATGTTCCGAGTAGCACATTTTTTTGCAGTTCTGCTGGTGTTATTGCAGAAAGCTGCAATTTCTTGATGTGTTTTGTAAAATTTTGGACATGGTATCAAGTGCCCCGATCACAATGGGTATCACTGTTACATGTTTCATCCATAACCATGTAGTTTTGATGGCCAGGTTGCGATATTTCGTGATTTTTTCCAGTTCTTTTTCTTTGACTCTGGCGTCTCCTGGTACAGCGATATCAATAAGTTGTACACTTTGGCCCTCGACAACCGTCATATCTGGCGTGTTGTGTTCCAAATGACGATCTGTCTGTATTCAAAAGTCCCACAAGATCTTCACCATCTCATTTTCAACAACCTTTTCCACTTTATGTTCCCATGATTTTTCAGATACAGGTAGGGCATATTTTTTAGATAATGACCATTGGATTAATTTAGCAACTCAATCATGTCTAGCTTTGTCAGTTTGCGTGAATTTGCTGCACTCACTTATTAAATGTGAAACAGTTTCAACTTTGTCATTGCAAAGTTGGCAGTTTGGATTGTCAGTGGATTTTTGTATCTTTGTTTTCATGGCATTAGTTTGTAGTACTTGTTCTTGAGCAGCAAGTATTAAACCTTCCGTTTCTTTCTTGATGATTCCTCTCTTAAGCCATGCCTCTCTTAAGTCAAGCTGTTATCACATTTTCCTTCTATGTTTTTCAAGTGCTGTCCATGCAGAGGTTTGGTTTTCCATCCATTTAATCTGTCATCCAGCTGTTTTTCCTTATATTCTGCTTTTGTTTCTGTTGTTTTTATAATGTTCTCCATTTTCACAGCTGAGCAATTTTTCTGT